CCCGGGAGCGCGGCCCCGAGCCCCGGGGGAAGGGGCGCCGCGGCTGTTCCGGGCGGTGGGGCGGTGCGGACCGGACTGCGGGCGAGGTGGAGCCCCGCGAGGGTCTGAGGCCGGGAACGACGGCCGCGCAGCCAGGGAAACGGGCCACCAGCTCAAGGTCACTCGTGGGGCGGCGGAGGGCTCGGTGGGCGGGGCGGGGGTTGAGGTCCGGCCGAGGCGGGGCTGGCTGTGCGGAGCCCCTCCTCCCTCCCCGGGGGGGCGTCCCAGGATGAAGGCGCCCCTAACCTGCCTGACCCCAGAACAAAGAAGAGTGGGGGCTCCTTTCAGAGTCTCCAGTTAGGACACCCCGCCCAGATCCGCAGGGTCCCGCCCCCTACTCACCGGGCGCGGCTGGTCCTAGGTGTCCACCGTCCGAAAGTCCCCACGTTCGGGGTAGAGTGAGCGGTGGCGGGGCTGGTCTGGGGCCCAGCGGGCGGCCCCCAGCCTTTATCCGTGCCGCCTCCCGCCTTCCCTCGGGGTGGAGTTTGGGCAGGCAGGGGGCGGGGGCCGGAGCGGGCGGTGACGCAGCCGGCCCCCGCCCCTGCCTGCCGGCCAGGGCCCCCGGGCGCCGTCGGGCCTGGGCCACCCGCCAACCGAACCTAGTCCCGTAAATGATGTGGGGGGCGCGCCTACAGCGCCGCTGAACCCTGCGCACGACCGGCCGCGCCGAAGACCTGGGCCCACTCCTGCTTGGCCACCAAGATGGGTTCTTGGGTGCCCAGTCGGGTCCCCGCCCCGCCCCCCTTCCTGCCGCCCCCAGCCCGGTGATTCCGCGTGGGGGGTGGGGCGGGAAAGGGGACCTGAGTCAGTGGCCGCTGTCCGCGAAAACAGGCCGGAGTCACCTGCGCTTAGCTGGGGTGCCCCAACCCACATCCCTTAACGGTGACCTCAGAGGGCATTTATCCAGCGATTACCCCATACCTGGCCCACCCTGTGTCCTGCGGGTCACGACCTGACTGCGCTGTGACCTTGGGTAAGAGGCCTGAACCTCAGTTTCTCCCGGTGGCCGGAGAGCTAAATGAGCATCCAGCTGGGCTGCCTCCAGCACCATCACCCAGGCCCAGCGACACTGTCACCTTATCCGTGGGGAAACTAATACTGGCCGGAACAAGACACGTCTGGGGTCTCCGCCTCAGTTTCTCCATCATTCATCAATGACTCGCAAGCGGTGGGGGACCCCAGGCTCTCCTCCCCCCAAGCCATGTCCACTTATCTGGTCAAGGTCCTCCCTTTATCTGGCCTGGCCACCTCCGCCCCCACCCTGCTCCTGGGTGCCCCTCCCTGGGTTGCTGGTTCCTAGGTCTTCCTGCTCCCACCCAACATGCTCTGCAGTTTCTGGCCCCCCACCCTGACCCTGGCGCACCCAGACACACCCAGACACTCCCAGCCCTAAGGGTCAGGGCTAGGTCCCAGGGAGGCAGAGAGAGACCCGGAGAGCCCTTGAAGGGGCCACGGGAGCTGGAATTCGAAGGATGAATAGGAGTTTTCAGGACAAGAGGAAGTTATGTGCTGAGCTATGGAAATTAAGGGCTGCCTACAGGACAAAGCGGTGCAGGGCAAGGGTGGATCTGGGCCAGGTCGAGGTCTGTTGGACCCAAAGGGAATCCAGACATGGTGGAGGGAGCTGTCTGGAACCCAGGACATCCCGGAGTCCGAGGGGCTCAAGAAGAGACAGCCATCGGCCATCATCCACCCACATGTGGAGCAGGTGGACCTATGGAGCCCCACGACTATGCCCTGCCTCACCCTCCCTCCTCGGGTAGGTGGGTAGCATTGGGCAGGGGGGATACTGTTGGGGTGGGCAGGCTCTTGGGGCCCCCTTGACCTTGGGCTGTCTGGCAGGGGAACAGCTCTGGGAATTGGGGCCGCACAGACCACAGAAACTCGGGGCCCTGGGATAGGCCTGGCAGGGAGGGGGCAGTGCTTTGGTGGGGGCTGGGGACTGTGGACCCAGGAAAGATGCAGCTCAAATCCAATAAACGTGCTTCTCCTGAGTGTCCCAGGCTGCAGTGGCTTCTCCCGAGGTCGGGGAGGCTGGGGCCCCACATGGTGAGTGTGTACTGTCCCGCTGCCGCGGCCTCAACCCCTGACTGGGCCCTGGCCCTAGGACCCGCCTAGCACAGCTTGGCCAGGGCGGGCAGTTCCCTCAGTCACAGTGGGCTGGGTGGCCGAGGCCCACCTTCCAGGTTCACAACCCCTGCAAAGGGGGTTGGGGGGAGCCCTGGCTGCATACCCGTGTCCCCTAGCAGGGCCTGAGTCTGGTGTGGGGCAGGCTGGCCTGTGTGACTGGTGAAGGTCTCCTGTCTCTGGGCCTGAGGCCTGGTGCGTTCTTGGTCTTATTTATAGCACGCTGGTTCCTGGCCAAGAACTCAGGGACCTGGGCTCCGGGCTGTGGGGGCAGGGTGGCTGCACCAGTGACCCCAGCAGGAGAGCATACGGTCATGTGATCCACTGACAGGACCTGCCCCCCAACAAATACCCATCCTACCCCCGAAGAGGCCGTGCATGTGGCCGGGGACAGTCACTCACACGGGACAGTGACATACTCGAGCAGGGCAGCCATAGCACGCATGTGCCCCCAGGTGGCCTCCTGTCACTGTCCCGGCTGCTGGTGACACACAAGGAGGCCGGGCTCAAACACACTCACCCCCCTGGAATCCCCTAACCACACCCAGGCCCACGGGGTCCCAGCAGTGGTGTGGTGAGGGGCAAGGACACCCTGACCCTCGCAGTCAGGAGAGGTGGGGGTTGCACAGGCTACCCTCATGCCCGCCCCACCCCATCTGGGGCCACCCAGTGGCCCCAGTGCCCACGGAGGGGCCCACACCCAGGGCCCGGGCTGCTGGCCAGGCTGGGCCAGCCGGGGAGGGCGTGCCCAGGGCGGGGCCTCCGTGGGAACTGGCGGGCCCCTCCCCTTCCCAGTGGGGCAGGCCTCAGGGGCCCCAGCCCTGGCAGTTGTGACCTTGCCCGCCCCCGGCCACTGGCCTGTCCTGGCCTGTCCGGCGACCTTTGCCCGACCCACTCCTGGGGTCAGGGCCAACACCCTGCCGGTCCCGTCCCCCCCTCGCAATGGTCCTCTGCAGCTCACCACCCTGGAGGCTCACAGATTGGCATCTTCATCCCCTATCACAGAGAGAGAGACCAAAAGCCTTAATCAACCCTTGGCCGATCAGCAGACACAACCAGCACAGATAGGTTCTTGGTCTTTAATGGGGGCATGGGTGGGGACGCTTGTCCTGCGGTGGTGGTCACGAAGGCAGGGTCTCGGCGTCTGGCTCCGAGGAACAGAAAGTGGTGGGCAGTTATCAGGCTGGGGGGTGTTGGGGGCAGAAGAAGGGCCCCAAAGGGTGTTGTCCCCAAGTTTTAAACACCCCACCCCAGGAGATGGGCCAAGAGGGGTCCTTTGGGCACTGCTCTGGCCCCTGCAGTCAGCCTGGACCCAGAGAGCTGGCTCTAGCCGCCGGGACAGCCCTCACCTGGCCTCAGCTTCCCCACCTGCGCAAAGGGGCACACACCACTACTCCAGGGCCTTGACCAGGGCCTCGCCGGCCTCGATGCGGATCTGGATCTCTGCCCGCTGGGCCTCGTCTGCTGCCCCTGACAGCTCCGCCTGCGCCTTCTCCAAGTTTGCCTTGGCTGCCTGCAGGGGACAGCGCAAGAGAAGATGAGACTGGGAGGCAGGGACCAGGCCAGCGCCTGCCCCTCCCTGCCTTGGCTCCCCCAGCCCAGACACTCACCCCTAAGTCCAGCATGTCCAGTGTCACAGCCTCCTCAGCCAGTAACTGCACGGAAGAGTCAGCGTTCACCGTGACAGACCCACTGCTCACTGCGGGGAGACACAAAGGGGAGGAGGTGAGACCCCCCAGGTCTCAGTGTCCTCATCAGCATGGGGCGGCATGGTGCTGAACCTCTGTCTCCAAACACTCCAACTGCCCCCGGCTGGCGTCTGGCTCTGCGGGTGGGTGTCAGGAGACAAAAAAGGCCAAGATGCCCAGAGAGAGGACAGACGATACAAGAGGCAGGGACCAGGGGGCCACCAAGGGCACGTCAGGCTCTTCACCCACCCGGCACACAAGCAGAGCTGAGGAGTCAGGTGGAGCTGGGTTCAAACTGGCTTCTCCACACAGGAAGGTGCTTCCTCCTCTAAATCACCCATCTCTCCCCACCTAGGACTTACTTCTCTTCTCAGCACGCTTTAGGTAACCCGTCTCTGCTGGCTGTGAATAGGTGAGGCAGCGTTGTGTCTGCTTTGCCTCCTGCTGTACCCTTAGTGCCCAGATTGGTGCCCTGAGCCGTGCGGGCCAGCCCCTGAACTTTCGTGTTCTAGCTCTCTCACTGGAAAGAGGACCATGGTGCCCGACCCGCTCCTCACCAAAGTACTTGGTGGTGGTGCCATCCTCCGCGTGGACGACAACAAGCCCCGGCCGCAGGACCTGCAGCGTGGGCACATGGTTCGCCAGGATGCCAAAGGCTCCCGTCTGCGTGGGCACATCCACCTGGCGGACGTGGGCACCGCTGAAGAACACCTGTGGAGAATGGAGCAGAAAGTCATGGGGAGCGGGTCACTGCAGGCCAGCCTCCGGTCCCCAGGACTCAGTCTGTCAAGCTGTAAAATGAGTCGGGGCAAGACTGAGTGGTCACAGAGGCAGCTCGGCGCTCAAATCCCACACCTCCCTCGGCACTGGTTCTGGGGAAGGGCCCCCAACCTCCCTGTGCCTCAGTGTGTTCATCTGCAAAACGGGAATGGTGGCGTCATCACAGTTCTTCCAGGAAAAGTCGCTCAGAACGGACAGGGAGAGCCAGCCAGCTGCACCAGCCCAAGAGGACCACACAGAAGGAGCTGGTGTCAACCCAGGGGCTGGGGGTCTTGGACACCGCACCGCAAAGGAGGGACTGAGGGTGCACAGCTGGGGTGCAGAAACCAGGAGTGAGGTTGGGAGGGGTCGGCTTCTGGACCACACCAGAGGGGCGTGGAGGCTCGGGTCCAGGCAAAGGGGATCGGTCCAACAGATGGGAACTGGGGGAGGGGGCAGGCTGAGATTCCAGAACACAGAAGCTGAGGGTGCAGAGACCGGGGAGGGGGTACAGGAGCTCGGACTCCGGACCACACCGGAGGGCGCGGGTCCGGAAGCAGGCCGGGGATCCAGCGAACAGGGAATTGAGGGGCTCGGATTCCAAACCACCAGGGGGTGCGTGCTCCCGGTCGGGGTCCAGCGACCCGGAAATTAGGGGGGGCTCGGACTCTGGACCACCAGGGGATTCGGGGTCCGGAAGGGGGTCGGAGTCCAGCAAACGGGGCGTTGGAGGACTCAGACTTCGGACCGCCCACATGTGAGGGGGTCCCGGCCGGGGTCTGAGCCCGGCCGGCGTCCGAACCTGCGTTGGCGAGGCGAAAGTGAAGGACATC